GAAATGCCAGTATGTGGTTATGTATTAAATCTTGGTATATTTTATGTTGAAGGACGTTTAAACAATTATAGTCAAATGAAATTGGGAGGTATGATGATGGTAATATGTATAAATATCTGAGTTAAAATACTTGAGTTAATATGAATTATGTTTGTTGACTGTGGAAGAGAAGCACAAAAGTCTTTTTGTAACCAACTGATACACTTTCTGTTGTGTTTGTTTTGAAAATTAGAAATAAAAAAATATTAAAAAAACAAAAACAAACTATAGTTCTCATGAAGGAAGGAATATACATGTCCCAGGATAATGTTGACCCAATCTGGGTCGGTCACTGGGACTAGAAGTTTTGTCTTCCAAACTTTTGGACTCGTGCTGGAGCTCATTTTCATAGAACTTCTCTCTAGCCCTTCTCTATAGTTCTTCTGCTATTTATAGCAGAAAAAGTCAGTTTCTGCTTTCTCTGAAAAACAGTGCTGGAAAATTTGAAGGATTTGTAGGTAACTGTGCACTCACTTCCCATCCATCTACAGAATCATCAAGTGCATCAAACGGCTTCTATGAACAGAGGAAATCCTTTCATGCTTGAAAAATACAATTAAGACCAAAGCCTGTAGCCACAATATAACAAAAGTTGTTGTTGTGTGTGCTTGTGTTTAACAGTGTCATGATTTTTTGAAGAATGCTTCAGCGATTATGGGGCTATGTCCTCAGACAGATTACAAAAACAACCACCATCTGTCTACTGGCAGCCCAAAATGTATAATTTGGTCATAATTCTTTCACTGAATTACTAGTACTGGAAAGCTGATATAATTGCCAATTCCTACATCTGCATCATCTTATGAATAGCATTACGAACAATATTCAGCTCTTTCATTACTGCACTGAATTTATATCTGAAGAAATAGTGCCCATCAGTCATTAAGGCAGAATATGCTTAGGGTTTATCTTTGTATTTATTTACACAAGTTTTAGCTGTGGAAAATAATCTAAAATATGAAATAAAATCCTTATAAGAATGTGGGTTTGCTTATATTTGTGTCTTCCGAAGAAAAGCAAATAGGTTTGCTTTTTTTTTCCATAGCAAATCATCTATTAAGATTGGAATAATATGTGAATTAGACTGGTAATAGCTGTTGTTAAAATTCTTTGTAACAAGAACAAGAGGATGAACCAGAATCCCAGGTAAGTAATAAAATAGATCAAAGCAAACACTGTGTCTCAAAATGGAAACAATAATTTAAAAAAGAAATTATTCCTGGTATTTATGGAGTGAATGTTGTAAAAAGTATAAGCCCAAAGCTACATAGGTTTATATTGTCACTTATTAAATGCAGTAACATATCTACTGTTCTCATAATATTGCACTCACAATACAATAATAGCCTATAATAAATAGGCGAAGTAAGCAATTTGACTGGTGAAATTATTGCACTTCCATCTAAACCTACATGGATCTGAGTTTATAAAACCTACTCAAATCATATGGAAAGATAATGCTATATTGGAAGAAGTCATAAGATTATTCAGTGTTGATGTTGAAATTCATGAAGTTATATTTTGTCTCCCAATGCTCAAAGAGAAGACAACATTATTAATGAATCAAAACTAATCATATCCCATACTTTCATTTGAAATTGTGGAAAACATCTGTAAGTTTCAAGTAATATTTCCTGAAACATTTTAATATTACACCTTTCCACTGAATTTCCCAAACCAATGTTTTTAATAGCAAACATTGACTAAAACAAGAAATATATGCATAAACATGTACAAACACATAAGTTCATGTAGTCTAATCACAACTGGAATAGCACAACTAGCAAAACTGAATTGACTTATAGAAAATACAGGGTGAAATAAGATAAAAAATCTTACGTATTAGAGAATTCTTTGTTTCAGCCAGCTGCTGCCAGCCAGTCTGTCTGTCTTTCAATGTCTCAGAAAGTTGAGTATGAAAATCTAAATGAAATAAAATAAACACAATTTAGCACACTCTTTATTAGACTTCACTGTTAATAAGATATTTTAGTATACCCAGCAGTATTTCTCTAAAGTCGCCCCACTAGCCAAACATTCAATGTGATTATAATTAAGTTATGACCCAAACTTCACTGGCAGAATTACCAAAACGTGCCACTTCTTCCCGATACAAAGTCATTATCAGTAAATATAGGGGATGCGT